CAACCAGAGGAGTCGCCCCCTGGTGGACACTAGAGAGAATGCAGGTGCCAAGTTTTTCTCGCGGTTTTTAGACTCGCTAACAAATGTAAAATGTTCTCAACTATTCAGCGCCAGATGTGGAGTCGCACTGTTTGTCGATGCCATGCTTGTTCCAGGCAGCAAATCAAATAAAACGAGAGGCGGGCTTTACTACTTTAGCACTGACTTCCTGTTTGCATGCGGGTAGATGTAGAAGGGCTAGCTCGCTTGTTAGCCATTGGGCTGTGAGAAAGCTAAGGAGTATGTGAGAGGGAATTCATATCTCATGTTGTTATAGTTTCACATAGGCTACAATGAGGGAGGGAGCGCGTTTCCCTTTTTTACCATATACATTTGATTGGTTGCGCACGCAGCCATTTTGCATTTAAAGAACTTTTTGAAGCGACAAGTGTCGGTGTGATCAGCCCCTTGCGTTAACTTTTAACTTCTGGTGATTGTATGCATGCCAGGATACACGAAAGTATCATTAACGTTTGTTTGCCACAGAGATTATTTTCTGCAATAATCCAAAAATCCAAATGGAAGAATCCCATTGGTTGTTTGTGGAGGGAAACAGTTATGCTAACTTCCTGTTGGATTACAAAAATAGGTCATCCCTGCAGCTCTCTAGACATCCATGCCGGTACCTCGCTGAGCTTCTACGACCAAATGTCTATTTTTGGTGGCCTTAATTCTGAAAAGTCCTTTCAAGGTTTTATAGTTTTATTTTCCCCGTGATGATGTGAGCTGCTGCTGTTCATTGTGGCATCTTTGTTCATTTCCTCTATGAGTCTGCATCAAAAGGGAACTCAACAAAAATACTTTAAACATCCTGAAAAAGACAATAAGTGTTTTTTGAGTGTTGACAAAAAAAAAAAAGAGTCTGTTATTCCTTTTTTTCAGTGTGAAAGAAGACCAACTGTTCCTCAGAGGAGGGTGTCAATCCGGGTGCTCGGGTCTCCTCCTAATGAGTCTCCGAGGTCAAACAGCTGGTCCAGGTTGACGGCGGAGCTACAGAGGAAATCACTGCGGCCTTGCTCCTCCTCCTCTTCTGGCCAGGGGCTCTCCAGGAAGGCGGTGGCGAGGAAGGTCTCCTCGTCAAAATCCGACCCGTCGGTGTTCCTTTGGGTCTCCACCAACACGTGGATGTCCGCTGTCCCCGCGGGGGCTTCGACGGTAGAGATGTGGGCCCCCCGCACCGTCAGGTCCCCCTCCTTCATGATGGGGCTCAGGGGTTCTTCTCCCTCCAAACTGAGCTCCCCGTTGAGGGCCGAGTCCAGCAGGGCGTCCCAGTCGAAGTCCCCCTTCAGAGGTCCGATCTCCTTCTGTTCATCTGTGGAGAGCAGCGGGGAGCTGCAGCGCCGCATCCGTTTCCTCTTGTGCCCGCCCCTCCCTCGCACCACGGGCCAGGACCCCAGCATGGTGCCCTCGGCCAGATGAGGGTCCCAGTTCTGGTCGGCGCCGGTCGCCTCTTCGAACTCCCGGAGGAGCCGGTGGGACTCGGGGTTGATGCACAGGCCGTCGTGACCTCCCGCGGGGCTGCAGGGGCCTCTGGACTGGGGCTGGAGGTTGACCCTGAGCCGGCTCTGCAGCGCCGGGTTGATCTGGACCGGCGGCATCCGCCTCTTCTTGTAGGCGCCGCTCAGGAGGCGCTCGGCGTACTGCGGGTCGATCTTCCAGAAGCCGCCCTTCCCCGGCTCGTCCTTCTGCCGCGGCACCTTGATGAAGCACTTGTTGAGCGACAGGTTGTGTCTGATGGAGTTCTGAAAGTGGAGACACATATCGTCACATGAGGATTCACTACCTGGCTTGATTTGGACGACGTATTCACTACCATGTCTATCTGGTGAGCAGCCGGTTAGCTTAGCTTAGCATAGAGACTGGAAACAGGTAGCCTGGCAGTCTGTAGCTAACAACACCCACCTACCAGCTCCTCATATCTGATGAACGTGTTATATCTCATTTGTTTCACCGTCACGCTGCTAGAATACCAAAGATCGTAAACATAGTTCGGTTTAGGGCATTTTTTTTATTTCATGGGATATCTACGAATTACACGCGTTCTTTCAGGTGTAGATAATGCTGGATGAGACCTGCTTGATAAAGAGCTTTAGAGGAGCTGGTGCGTGGATGTTGTCCAGCTGTTTCCCCCTTGTTTCCAGTCTTTATGCTAAGCTAAGCTAACCAGCTGCAGTGCAGACATGAGAGTGATATTGATGTTCTCATCGAGCTCTCTGCAAGGAAGCAAATCAGCCCCAAAATGTTGCTTAAAGAGAGTCCATCAGCCATTGGACATCAGCCTGTAGTGAAGCAGGAAGTGCAGACGGCAGAGCACCATACGTCACATTATTGCCCCCCCCCTCGTTGAAGTTTAGATGGAGCAGTGACCCCATGACCTTTGTTAAATATTCTCTGCCCCATGCACTGCTCTACAATAACAGAGTGCTCTGAAACACGGGAGTGCAGCTAACCTCATCAATCATTCATCCGGATAAATTAAACTTTTTCATGAAAATTCCTGAAGAATCTGCTGCTGCACTTTTGTTTTTCCTCCTCCATCACGTGTTTCTATAACAGCAATGTGAAGAAAAAATATCGATATAAAAATGAAGTGTTTGAATTGAGTTTCCTGTGTTGCTGAGCTCTTGTTAATTATCAGCAGCTTTAAGTCTCTAATACTCAGGATGTCTTCTACTGTTCTTTAAATAGAAAGCATTCATGGTCCCAGCTGTGATTTGACCTCAACGAGACTCAAACTATAGAAAGTGTGTGTGTGTGTGTGTGTGTGTGTGTGTGTGTGTGTGTGTGTGTG